TTGGATCGGTATTTTGAAAGTAGTTGCAACATATCTGATCATTTGGAAACTCACCTCGAAAAGTTCGCCCACACGAGAATTCAATTCATAATAACGAATTGAACACCAAAAGTCAGGCTCCGGATAGTCCGAATATACACTTGTATCCATTTTTGTTGGCTCGCAACCATCTTCACTAATTACCGACGATGGACTCGCTGCAAATTGCTCACTGAGTCATTCTCGACTGCACAACATTTGGAGTTTACGTCTTTCTTTTAACGCAATCTTCACATATCGGAAAGGACATCAATTTCTTTCACTCAAACTGGATTTTTGATAATGATCTGGTTGGCCTGACATACGGCAAGTTTGAGATTATTTTTATCTGACAATTTGTGAATGAAGAGATCAGAACATCTTGAAATATGAGATTAATCACGAGGAACCGTAATCAATTTGAGCGATACACTTGATTCGTTTAAGATCAAAACGAATAACGTTACCGGATGAATAAGACGATAGAGGTGATTCGATATTTGACGAATATTCAATTGAGGTACTCGATGATATCAATGAACCTAATCCAGAAGCGTAAGAAGAACATGCGTACTGAAATTTAGTCTCTTTATATCTTTCTTTCAGAAAACCATCAGTGTTCAGAGATTCCGACTTCAATCTGTTCCTATCAACATGAGTTGGATGATTCCTGTACTACCTAAGCCTAAGCCTGATATCAGCTGTTAAGGAATTATTGTATTTTGTGCATTCGAATACGGCAAAGTTTCCCAAAAACTCTGGTTTGCAGTAAACGTTTTCATGCATTTGCTATGATCAGCGTATCGATTCATTAAGCAGCACTATATGAAATGATTATGTAGTGCATTGGATTGCAATGCTCAACATTCATTAGATGGCGTCAATAAGTATACATTATTTGTTTGTATACACAACGCTATTTCAGAACGGTATGCGTATTTGGTGGAGCGATGAAAAAATGAACGAATGAATTTGAATTAAACGAGAGATGAGTGGCGCCATTGGCGACATTATTATTAATATCAATTACTATTTACTCATAAATGAACTATTTTAATGCAAAAGTGATATTATTATTTATTCGTCACTTTTATTGATACTCTTTTTTCTCTATCGAATCGCATGAAAGAGTAATTTTGATTTTTATTGGAAACTTTAAACGATATTTGAATAAATGCTTTGGAGACTAAAGAGAATGAATTCCTTTTGCTGACTTGGAAAATACTTTGCATTGGTTGAGTACAAAAATGCAGAAATAGAATCAAATACAAAGAGGATGTATTTTGTGATTGTTTAATTAATATAAATGAAAGCGACTCGGGCGAATCAGATCAATTAATTAAACTAATGACGATCTCGAATAAAAACAAAAGTCCATTCGACTTCTGTCATTTGACTGTCATTTTTGTGAAATCGATCCCTTTCGGCCCATCAAAAAGAATCAAAATTAATGTTAGATTGTTGATTTGAATGGTGATTTATGAACACA